TGCAGGGATGATGTGGGTTTTAGGAAACTACAGTGAGCCAAGAAATGAGAACATTTTAACCATAGTTTAAATGTTTGTTAATAATTTGGCTGTGAAACATCATGGAATAGTAAGAAACCACATTTTAAAAGACAAAAGCATAATAAATTAAATTCTAGGAAGAATAAGATTTGGATACAAAATTTACAAGCTGATTTAATAGACATAAAAATTTGTCCCCTACAAATAGAGAATACTCATTATTTTCAGATACATTTGAGCACAAATGAATGGTATAAGGTAGGCTAGGATAATTCTGAACTCAAGGCAATAACACTAGAAAACAAAAATATAGTCCTCTGCAAAACCTGTCTTCTCAGAATTTTTAAATCCCCATTATTATTTTGCATAAAATGAAAATTAACCAATTTTAAGTGTATAAGTTTTGTCACATGTGTAGTCATGTAGCCACAACTATAACCATGACACAGAATATATCTGTCATCCCCAAAAGTTTCCCAGTCCCCCTTTGCAGTCAACCTTCTCTCCCAGCCCTGGTTCCTAGCACCCACTGATCACTTCCTGTCACTGTAATTTTGCTTTACCTAGAATTTCATACAATGTGTTGTCTTTTGTGTGTGACTTCTTTCACTCAGCGCAATGCTTTTGAGATTATTCTTGCTCTTTCTTGTATTGGCAGTTTGTTTCATTTGGTTGCCAGTAGTATTTCATTGTATGCATATGCCCCATTTTGTTTGGCCATTCCCCATTTGATGCTACATTTGGGTTTCTTTTCAGTTTGGGCTCAGAACAATTGCATACAAGTCTCTGGGTGGATGTGTGATTTTATTTCACTAGGTAAATAACTAGATGTGAGATTTCTGGATCATTTGGCAAGTATATGTGTAGCTTTAAGGGAAATTGCCAAACTGTTTTTCTAAAATGGTTTTAACATTTTGCCATTTCAGCAGCAGCTTATCAGAGAATCAGTTGCTTGGCATCTTGGGCAACACTCTTTCATTTTAACTCTTCTAGTGAGCGTGTAGTGATATCTCACTAAGGCTTAGTATAATTTTGATGAAATGACTGTTCATATCTTCTGCCCATATTTTTGTTAGGTTGTTTCTCTGAGTTGTAGGAGTTTTTTATGTATTCTGAATGGAAGTCCTTTATTAGCTATATGGTTTGCAAGTATCATCCTTCAACCTAACTTAAAGTTATATTATACTACTTGTACTATATATAGCACAAGAACCTTAACAACAGTTCTAGTTTCCTGTCCTCCCAGTGAATAACCCCAGTAGAATGAGAATTTCTCAATATTGATTTTCCAATCTCAGAGAGGACTCTAAGCTCCCCTGCTTGGGTTACATAACTCATCCCTAAACAGACAACAGTAGACTGTGACATGAATATTTGGATAAGCCTGAATTTCTGCAGCAGCCCTTCTAAAACTTCATGGAATTGAGAAAGAGCTCACCAGAAGAATCCAGCAAGAGGAATGCAAAAGTGTACTAGTTAGACAAAAACTAGAGCTGTCATAGACCATTACAGGCAAACATATCACAGAAAGAGTTTACAAATTGGCAGGTAGAGAATTCACACACACTTGCTGTAAATCCCCAATGTATCTTGCCAACAACACTGAACTTGGCCACTCAAAGCAAGAGCAAATGAAGCATATCTCTGTATGACATTTTCCTTCCCCTTGTACCCCCGCCCAGGGCACTCAGCCACGAGTGAAACTTCTGCTATATGGTTCCTGTCAAGCTGAAAAGAATCCATATACTCCCCACCCTTTTATGCTTGATTTATCAGCATTCCGGAAAATTTTTTTTACTAACAATATAAGCACTTCTGTATAATGCTGTTTCTCAACTTTGCAGACTATTGACATTTTGGGCCAGATAATTCTCTGGAAGGAAGGGCTGTCCTATGCATTACAGGATGTTTAGCAGCATCCCGGGACTCGACCCACTAGATGTCAGTAAGACACCTACCTCCCCAGCTATGAAAATTAAAATTTTCTCCAGGTAGTAGCAAATGTTCCCAGGGGAAGCAAAATTGGTCCTGGTTGCTAACCACTGGTTTAAGGGAACATTTACAAATATCAGGATCTACGGGTTCTTCTTTTTTCTTTTTATTGAATTTATTGGGGTGACAGTGGTTAACAAAATTATACAGGTTTCAGGTGCACAATTCTACAGCACATCAAGAAAAAACTCTACAGGCTCTTGACCTCAAATTAAGCATCAGATGGGGAGAAAGCAGAGTTAGCATTAGGTGCCATCAACTCCTGTTCCATGTCCCAGCAATCCCATCTCTTGTGAGGGGACCATGTGTTTTTCACTGCTGCAAATGCAGCCCCCAGCACCTGGCACAAAGCAATGCTCGGCAACCACGACCACAGCAAATGTTAAAAGAATAAGTGAGGGGATGGGTGGATGGGTGAGTGGATGGAAAGAAAAATATGGATGATAATTCATGGTGTTACCCTGGGAAAAAGCGTGACATAGGTGGTATGTACATAAGAAGAGGAGATATCTTACTTAAAAATTTCTGTGTTTGAATTTTATCATTTTTATTCTCATAGCATAGAAATTTTTAAATGATTTATCTTTAAAGCACTTGGAAATCAAAGCAAGCATTTTCTCTTTGATAACTATTTCTTTAATTTGCCGGGTTGTTGGTTTTTTTTAAGTACAAATGTGGATACTAGCCCTAGTTCACATTCTGGAAATCAAAGCAAGCATTTTCTCTTTGATAACTATTTCTTTAATTTGCCGGGTTGTTTTTTAAGTACAAATGTGGTTACTAACCCTAGTTCACATTCTGAAGCATCACCAAGTCTGAACTTCTGATTTTTTTTCTTTTAACTCATGAGCCAACAGTCATATAATATAAATATTTGTGAATGGGCTATATGTTGGAAAAAAATGTACTTGGTACAAAAGCAACCTGACACACCACATTCAATTCCGTGCATTGGCCTTGAGGATGTCACACCTCAAACCCTACAGAGCTTTTGCCCTCGGGAATTGTATGCTGAAAAGATTGGTGGTGATGAAGCTTCATGGAGTGATTTTGGTCACTCCTGTTTTAATTCGTCCATACAGGATTTTCTGGGCAGGATGAGAGGAGAGAAGGAGTGAGCTGGGTGCAGCAGAGCCCTGTGAGGGGAGAACAGGTGTCTGGCCCTTTCTACTTAAGGCAGACAGAGGGCCGAGGAATAGGCCAGGGGGTGAGGAAGGGAAAAGATAATTTGTGGGGCCGGCCGTTGCTTGTCTTTCTCCTGCCACAGCAGACTCTGGGTCGGATTCTCCCTCTTCAGTGAGACAGACACCCCCCCTGCAGGATGGAACCCAGTGGTGCAAAGCAGTCCAGCACCTGCCCATGTGACACCCCCATCCTGTAGAAGTCTCATCTTTCCCTGTCACCTCCACCCCAGAGGGAAAGGCCCAGCCACCCAGGTCTTTTGAGGTCAGGGTTCCAGGAACCAGAGAGCCTGTCCTGTGAGGTGAGATCATTTGTTTACAAGAGGCAGGTGATGCCGAAGATACAGAGCAATCCATCCGCCTTAGGGACCAAACAGATTCCCCCCACCTCATCCGCCACCAGAGTGGTCAAGGCAGGGAGGCTGGGCGAGGTGACCTTCCAGAGCTGAGTCTGTGCTTCTAAAAATAGAAGCATCGTTGGAGAATGGGAAGGGGAGGGGAGGCTGTGGAAGTCGGGGACAAAAACCGGATCCCCAGAGCATTGTCAGAATGCAACTTTATTAATTAGACACTCACCAGCTTGATAACCTCAGGTATCACAGAAATTGAAGCTAAATAAATTGGCTTCGTTATTTTCCTTTCTGGTTACACTCTTTCTGGGATAAAAAGGAGAAAGGGAAGCATGTCCTCTGACTTACTTGAATGGCTGTGTACTGCCCGAGATGTCTTCCCCAACAGAGGGAAACGGGGCCTCCTTAGAGACGCATCAAGAGAAGGCAAGCTCTGCAGCGATGTGGGAGTCCCCAGGGGTGGGCGGTAGGGCCTTGGGGCCTGGGGCCCAGCCATCTCTCCCTGCATGGAGACTGCACGGGGCTCTGTCTAAGGCTGGGTATGTCCAGGGCTGTGATGTGCGGGGTTTCTAGGTGCTGCTCTCGTGCTTCTGAAGGGTCCTTGTCCAGAGCCATGTGAGGACAAGGCGTTTCCAGGGTCCGGTGGAGCCGTGTGCTGGTCTGCAGAGGTTGTGTGAGACCAGATTGTGTGCAGTGCTCTGGCGGGTAGAGGTGCATGTGTGTATGGGTGTGAGTGTGTGTGTGTGAGTGTGTGTGTGTGTGTGTGTGTGTTTTGGGGCATGGGGTGTTTGCAAGAGTTTAGGAGGGGTATTGTGGCAAACTTGGGGGGCCTGTGTAGGGCAAGTGTGCATATAGATAGTGACTATTTGGAGGACTTTATGGGCCTATGTGGGGCTGGTGGAAAGAACTGTGGGGGAGGCCATGTGGGAAACAGGGCGGGAGAGCCTCCGAGGAGCTGTGTGGGGACCTGTTTGAGAGATGGCCTGGGGCTGTGCGGAGCATGTCTATGCAGGCTGCTGTGGGGGCCGCACAGTACCTCAGTACCTCTTTGTGTATGTCATACTGGGGGCTCTGTGTAGACTGTGACGGGGATATGAGTGGACCCACAAGGGGACTCTGTTTGGAATAGTTAAGGCTGTGGGGGCTTCTGCTCTGGGCCACGGGGACTTGTGTGAGGCTGGAGGACTGCAAGCGTCTGGATAGAGGGTGACAGAGGCCCTGGATGGCCTCCACAGCTTTGCCATCTGAGGATGGGCTGGGCTTCCTTAGGCTGAGGGGCTCCCAAAGTGCAGGCGTTCATTCTTCTCCAGGTGACTGGCTGCAGGCGAGAGGCACCGGGATTCAGGAGATGAGCGGAGGGGGCAGTGCTCACCCTTCCTGCGCTGCCCTGCGGCCGACCCTCTGCACGCCAGGCTGGAGGTGCTCCCTAACGCTTCAGCATGTGCTCTCTCAACAGGACAACGTGGACCTGGGAGAGCTGATGTTTTCCCTCTGCTATCTTCCAACGGCTGGCAGGCTGACCATCACCGTTATAAAAGCAAGGAATCTAAAGGCCATGGACATAACGGGAGCATCAGGTGGGACACTGTCTGATTCAGACTTTCTCATGTGGTTCTGTTGTAGGACCTTATGAAGTTTCTGGTAGAGTGATAAACACATGGACCCTGGAACCAAACTACCTAGGTTTAATCCCTGTCCTGGACCTAATCGCTGTGTGACCTTGGGCAAGTCACTTAACCTCTCTGGGTGTCAGATTCCCCATCTGGAAAAGAGGATAATAACAGTAACTGGCTCGTTGGGTTGTTATAAGATTAAATGAGTTAATACATATAAAGCCATAAGAACATGCCTGGTGCGTACTAGATATAGCCTATTATTAGCTATCAGCATTATTATTCTTTCTTAAGTCTTCGTCACCATAATTGTGAACTGGGCCCACAATTTACATATGATGATACAGCTTATCTAATCAAGTCTTTCCTCAGATATAAGCAGTTACCATCTCAGGTTTACTGAAGATCGAAGAACCCTCTATCCTTATAAAAGGCTCATTAGCAAACTATGGAGTTTTGTTTTTCCAGTGAATCAAATATATACCTTAAATTCTAAACCCTAAAAAAAAAAGCCCCGAACTGCAGTTCCTAACATACAGATTCACGAGCAACCTCTGCAGGGGCTCCCGAAATGTGGTCCTAAAATACCCAGTCTACCAGCTGTTGGTCACTGAAATAAAGGACATCAGATGCAGTATATTCTGCTTCCAGTCTTCCAGGGTTTTTCCAAGCAGAAAAAAGACTTGTTCCCTTCTGGCCCTCTAGGTCCCTCCTAGACAGTGTATTGTTATGCAGGTGAAGAGAGAAGAGCTCCCCACTGAGCAGTAGGGCAGTGAGGTGGAACCAGGAAAGCCTCCCTGAAGCAGAGACCAGCCTTGTCACCTGTCACCCCATCCCAGCGTCACACCACAAGCAAGCCTGCTCCTTTCTCTCCATGACATGCTAAACTGCTTCCCCCTTAGCAACCTGGCTGCAGGCAGCTTCAGGGGCTCAAGGCCCCTGCACCTTGGAAACCGACCCCTGAAACTCCGCCTGTCCTCAGGGAATTCAGCTCCTCCCTTTCCCAAAGACCAGATGTTTAGGAAAACATTGCCAGTAGTGGCCCAGAGTCGGGCCTGCAGCTGGCTCTCCAGGCCTTGAAGGTGCCTTTGGGTTTCTCTCCCTGTCCCAGCCAGGCCGGTCGGAATTCTAGCTGGAACTGTTTCCAATTTGGTAACAGATTTTTTTCACACTATTTTTAAATTCCACGCATTTTGAGGAGACAGTGTCCTGTGCTTTTTCGTGAATGAATGACTTAATTCTGCTAACTCTAGTCACTGCCCAGGCATCGTATTAATGAAACTCCTCAGACTGCAGCCGACAGGCAGGAGCAGTTCCGCACACACGGCCCGTGAAACCCCGCGATGGTGGGGCCGCCGGCCTAAGCCTGCACGTGTCCTCACGGCTCCCCTGCTTCTCGCCGTCCCCACAGATCCCTACGTGAAGGTCTCAATGATGTGCGACGGCAGGCGGCTGAAGAAGAGGAAAACGTCCACCAAGAGGAACACCCTGAACCCTGTTTACAACGAAGCCATAGTCTTTGACGTCCCTCCTGAGAACATTGACCAAATCCACTTGTCCATAGCGGTCATGGACTATGACCGGTGAGATGCCTGCAGCTCTTTCAGGGCAGGTCCGCTGTGTCCAGGGCAAGGGGAGGGGCGGGCAGCCACCATTCTTAGCCGGTGTCCCAGCAGCAGGAAGTGATACGAATGAGCGGCACATGGAAAGCTGATTGACAAGGGATCCAAACCGCGCTGTTGAGTCGGGTTACGACAGGGCCCCTTAGCTCTCCCAGGCTTTCCTCCCCCTTTTAAATCTCTTTCTCCTTCTGCACCCTCCTCTCCCCCCACCTTTTCCCCTCTCCACCCCAACACCCCCTCCCAAGAACCCCAGCTTGGAGAACTCTGGCCCCACAAGTCTAAGTCTTCTCTTGGCAGCCCTGCCTGGCCTTCAGGGGAAGGGTCCACTCAAACCAGCAAAGTAATTGCTTTAGCCTGACCATCAACATTTCCAAGCATATAACTTTGTTATTTTTTCCCCTTCTCCTAGCATGTTTAATAAAGATCATTTCCATCCACTTAAGTCTGAAAGCAAACACAGAAATATTCTCCTGAAAATGCTAGAATCACTATGGATGACAGGGTACATTAAAATGTATAAGATGCTCGACTTTCTAATTAATACAGCACAGAAGAGATATTTATAGCCTACATTGTAGCCAATTGTGTATTTAAAGGACAGATTGGAAAAACAGTCACTTTAATATGCAAAGAAAGTACCAACAGGGAATTATATATGTTAAACCAGTCATTAGAGTGAAATGAAAAGTCTCTTTTTAATTGGAAACCTCCCACGTGGTCTGGGTACAATTATGAAAAAAATCATTCTGACTTCTAATATAATCTTCCAAATATTATTTGTAGCTAGAAATTTTTCCACATACCTCTGCAATGTCAACAAAGCAGCTCCAGTGCCCTGAACACTCTTTCCAGCAGATGCCTGGGGGAAGCATAACCATCTTCCAGCCCCAGGCCCATGGGTGGCTGAGTTGCCATGGGTGTGAGAGCCCATACTGGGCAGGAGACCTCTTTCTGTCTCCTCTGAACGACATACAGCACCAGTAGTGTCAGGCCACGGGAGGGGACATTGCCCACCAACTATAGAAAGCTAGGCCAGCATTTTTCAAGCTATTGCCAAGTTTCCCACATCGACAAATCTGATTATGTGAGCTCTGCTTCATTTTAATTCTCAGTAAACTCATGAATCTGGCCTGGAAAAATCCATGGCAGAATTCATGGAGCTTCTGCATGCAACTGATTTTTTTTTCCAACTGATTTTAATCACCATAGACTCGAGTACCCTTCCCCAGCTTGTTTCCCCCTTACTTCCTACCCAAATAGAAGGGAAAACAGTCATCTTTGTAGGAAGAAAAAGGAAGGAAAGTCTGCGTGTTTGGATCCCAGAGAGTTAAAGGATAGCCATGTCATTCTATTTGTACAAAGGATCTCTCGCCAAAACCTGCTAAGGAAAAAAAATGGGCCAAGGGAGGGACCTAACTAGGGAATGTTTCAGAAGTATTAGCCCTAAAGTTAAAGGAGCTAAGGATTTTTTTTACAGTAGGGAAATCAAATTGGGTCAAAGAGAAAAAGCTGGGTTTGGAAGGAAGGAGGAAAGAGCATGAGAAAACATGTTCTCTAAAGAGAGGGGGAGCAAGAAGACCCAGGAGCTTCCTCCGCTCTGCCCTCTTTGTGAGCTCAAGACTATGGCCCCAGACAAAGAGCTGCCCCCTGATGGGTACTTGGTTGCCTCTTGCAGGAATCTGAGCAACTGTTATTGCAAGAAACTCTATTCAGGTGGCCCCCTTTCATTACATGGATTTGGAGGCCTGAAGGTCAACCTAGTTCCAAAACCAAACAGAGGTGTCATCCTTAGCGTGCATCAGGGAGCTCTTCAACCATAGGGTTCTTGGGAACAAGCCAAGTCATACCATGTGACACTTCCGTGTTACAAACCCTAGGTGTGTGAGGGCCAAGCTCTGCTCTTCCTCTCCATGCCACCGAGTACAATATTGGATCCCAAGTCTTAGTCTCTGTTAAACTTTCCATCTAGTTTTAAGTTAGGGAATGAAAAGAATCACCCCTCCTCAGCTCCTTTATTGGTTTAATTGAGTAGTTATTTTTCTTGCATACCAAAATTTTAAGAAAAAACTATTGTGGGCCATTTTCACAGTATAGGTCACAATGAGATCATCGGCGTGTGTCAAGTAGGCAACAAAGCTGAGAGGCTGGGCAGAGACCACTGGAGTGAAATGTTGTCATATCCTCGGAAGCCCATTGCACACTGGCATTCCCTGGTGGAGGTAAGACCCACCCCAACATACTCCAATTCATGGAAGAATAAATGCTTGAATGTTGAGGTGGAGGAGCCACCAAAAATGTGAGTGTATATTTCCTGGGCTGTTAGGAACTACATTCAATCTGAGGTTCAGTCTGTGATCTCCACCTGCCTGGTGGGTTTTGAGCCAAGGTAAGGGATCATCCTTCACATTGACTGTCCTTTAAAAAGGTCAAGATTCCAGCCTGGCCAGCATGGCTCAGCGACTGAGCATCGACCTATGATCCAGGAGATTGCGGTTGGATTTCAGGTCAGGGCATGTGCCCGGGTTTCAGGCTCGATCCCCAGCAGAGGGCATGTAGGAGGCAGCCGTTCAATGATGCTCTCATCACTGATGTTTCTGTCTCTCTCTCCCTCTCCCTTCCTCTCTCTCTGAAATCAATAAAAATATTTTTTTTAATAAATAAATAAATAAATAGGTCAAGATTCCAGCCCTGGCCAGTTGTAGGAATATCGTCTTATACACCAAAAGGTTGTGGGTTTAGTTCCCCATCAAAGCATTTGCCTAGGTTGCAGATTTGATCTCCACTTTGTTTGGGGCGTGTGTGGGGAGCAACCAATCAATGTTTCTCTCTCTCTCTTTCTCTGTCTCCCCCATCCTTCCCCTCTCTCTAAAATTCAATGAAAAATGTCCTTGGGTGAGGGTTAAAAAAAGGTCAGGATTCTCTGATACTTGCTTTGGGTTGACATTTGAAGGATACCTGCAGGATCTGGGTGAGTGTGGCATTTTCGGGCTATCATATATAGTGACTTACGCCTGGTGTCAGAAAGAACTTGAGACTAGGAGAGAGGAGGCCTAGACTGACTCTAGTATGAATGAGTGATTCTGGACAAGTTGGTTAGTATCCGATTCAACTACATATGATAAAAATATAAAAAACAACAAACCACAAAACAACAGTTGAAATGAAAATTTATTTCTGTCTTACATAATAAAGGTCAGAGGAAGGAAGCCTAGATTATTATAGTGGCTCCATGATCAACAGAGACCTAGACTTCTGTGTTTCTACCTCACTGACCTAGTGTGGGTTGTTGTTTTCTGTTGTTTGAGGTCACCTCATTGCACAACATGGCTGCTAAGGTCTAACCATCACATATCTTATAAGCCATAGAAAGGTGCCCAAAAGCGCACACATTCCTTTTCAAGGATTTTCCTTGACGTCTCATGCAACACTGGTACTGACAATAAACTTAGTCACATAGACATGTGTGGGAAATGTATTCTTTTTGTTTTGTGGAAATGTGCCCAATTAAAAACTAGGGTAAAAATTTCTTACAAGGAAGAAGAGGGCGGTGGATACCTGGAGGCAATGGACAGTCATTCTGCCTCTCATACTCTCATTCATTCTCTCACTCCCCGTCGTTTCCTTCTCATGCATTCTCCTCCCACTCATCTTTGCTCACTGACTCACACTCTTATTTACTTACTAACTCATTCTCTCAAAAATAAATTGCATCCACTAGGTAACATTTCTGAGGGTCAAATGCCATATTAGGTACAGAAAGTAGATGTGAATAAGAAACCATCCCTTCCTTCCCTTGAAGAGCGTATACACCATAAGAGAGACAGACTGTGGTGAGTAAACTAGTCTTTAAAGTGCACGTCTGTGCCTGGCAGGCGTGGCTCGGTGGTTGAGCATCGACCTAGGATCCAAGAGATCAAGGTTCGATTCCCCGGTCAGGGCGCTTGCCCCAGTTGGGGGCTCGATCCCCATTAGGGGGCGTGCAGGAGGCAGCCGATCAATGACTTGCATCGTTGATGTTTCTCTCTCTCTCGTTCTCTCCCTTCCTCTCTCTGAAATCAATAAAATATATATATATTTTTAAAAGTGCACATTTGGAATCATTGTCATCCACACCCAGTGCTACAGAGCACGAAGCAGGAGCGTGTTGTCATGCTTAGATGTAATAGTCCACGGAGCATTTCTTCCTCCTGCTCCTGGTAAGTGAAGGGAACCGAGCCCGTGGGAACAGGGACACCAGGGAGTCTGGATTTCAGGCCGAGAGCTTTTCTCTTAGCCTCCCGCTGCAGACAGCTGTGCTCCCTGCAAAGCCATCCTGAGAGGCCAGCCCCAGAGCCTCGCTCAGTGTGGGCTCTGCTGCCATTGACAGGTTAGTCTGGTGGCAGTAAACATCCAGGCAGCTGTACAGCGACCCCTGTCTGGCCTGGGGACGAAGGGACAGTCTTCCTTTGTTGCAGATGGTGCCAGAGGGAGAAGAGCAGGACAGGGTTTATGGATTGATTCTAAGCTTCAGGGTATCAGGAGAAGCCTTGGGCCTCCAATTTGCAGGTCCCTGAGGACCCCTCTGCCCCTGGGCCATCAAAACCAAGACTCTTTCTTTCCTGGACTCAAAATTAATCCCTAAGGAAGACCCACGGGCCCTCTAAAGCTGGAGAAGTGGCTGGAGGGCTGTGCTGACTGGACCGCACCTCACTCCCTCAGCTCCTGGTGCGGGTCTCAAAGGCATCCGTCCGTCTGTGGGCTCATTAAGTCGCCTGTGCCTGTCGCTAGCAGTGGCCGTTAGAGAAGTTGTAATAGACATTTTGCACCCTTGTAAGTCACCGCTGACTTCAGTTCTTACTTGTAATCTGGCGTGTGAAACAGCGTCAGAGCTCCGTGCTTCTCACGACACAGGACGCAGGAAAGGATCGGGATGAGACGAGGAGCGCAGTGTGGGGCTGAGGCATGAGCCCCGACCCCGGGTACGAGCAGTTCTTTCTCATGACCTTGCGAGAGTAACCCTGGGTGGTGCGAGTACACAATGGGGCCTGTAGACAACGGACCTTAGAGGCTTCCTTCTCTGCCAAGGAAAAGGCACTGTGTGACTTTGGTCACCTGGGAGATATTCCTGAATCCTAAGCACCTGGCTTTTTGCAAATCATGTTTGACAGCTATGTAAGTGAGAAATAAGTGTCTTTAGGGTTAAACCACTGAATCTTGGAAGTCGGTTGTTCCAGCAGCTGGAATAACTTCAGCTAATACAATGGTCATTCTCAACCGTTGCAGCAGAACTTAGGAAATGAAACGGCCGTGCCCCTTCCACGAAGGGTGAACCAGGGGAGGCGGGCCCTGCCCTGTGGCTTCCTGTCTCCTTTGAAGTGTGTGCCCAGAACTCCAGATGCAGCCTCAGAGGGGAAGCAGTACTTTTCTTTTTAAAGATAAATGTGCAGCGAACAGAAGTGGGGCACTGGTACCAGAGGAGATGAAAAGCAGTCTGGGGGAGGTCACTGCCCTTCGCTAACAGCCGAGAGGCTGGAGAAGGCCACAGGCAGGCGGGAGGAAGCTCTCACTCCGGAGTGGGTGGACCCAGGTTCAGGTCCTTGTGCCGCCACTCGCAAGTTGTTTTCCCCTCTCTGAATCTGAGTTTCCTCCTCTGTAAAGTGGCCGTCACAGCACCTGTCTCACAGGGTGGTGGTAAGGATTAAACCATCTAATATATGTGAAGCACAGCAGCTGGCACATAATAGCTGCTCAGCAAAGGCCTCAGTTATAGTCATTATCATGTATGTCCCACATTCCGAGTGACTGCTGTGTGTCCTCATGTGACTGTCACACAAAGAAATATCATCCATCGTGTGTCATAGAGGATCACAGGGAGGCTGGGAATGTCCATCCCCTGCACCCGTGAGCCATTACCTCAGGACGGGGGAAGGGGTCATTTGCAGCCCTGCTGGACGTAGATGCACATGTATCAGTTCTGCTCCTTCTGTTTTCCTCGGCCTTAAGGATAAGTTGCTGTTATACCCTCTTCCTTTAAATTTCTGTTATAAAACAAAAACAGTAATGAAGTCCCAGTTCTCTTGTGTGTGTGTGTGTGTGTGTACATTAGCATGTGTGTTTGAATGAGAGAGAGAAATGGGAAAGAGAGAATATGGGATAGTTAGGATTTCGTGTGAAGGGAGGCTGGCATGGCAGAAGCTCTTCACTGCTGGGGACTGAGGGGCCAGGTTAGGACTGAACCCTGAGCCTGCAGAGATCTGGCGGCCGCTCGGGGCTGCATCCAGCATGCCCTGACCTTGCCAGGGCAGGTGGCAGATGGAGTCTTCAAAGCCAGTGAGTTCAGAAATCCGTTTCTCTCCTGGGGATTCTGGATGGCTTCACCGCATACTCAAAGGTCAGCCAGTCATTCCCTTTACTGCCAGATGTCAAAGGCTTAGGAAGCTGGCAGACTCCCCCAGAGAAGGCTGCCTGGGACCCGGGGACAGGAACATCCCCTCTATGGGGCCTCGGGAGATGACAGAACCCTCGGGGCTCCCACCCCAGTCCCCCCCCTCCCCCCGCTGTATACCCAAGAGAAGGTAGTATTGGCCTGGCTATATCCCAGCACCTCACCCACCTCCTGGATGTGGAGCTGACCTTCCTCATGGTCTCTGGAGAGATCATAGAGACAGTTCCAGGCTTTCGTTGCTTCCATGTGGAGTGCTATCTATATATACTCTCTCCATTAACACGTTGTAAGCCTGGTTTGATGGGAAGACCAGACACACATACCATTTGGTTAAATCAGATTTTACTTTTCTAAGAGACAGAAGACAGAGGTTCTGCTCAGAATTTACAGTGAAGACGAACAGCATTGCCCTGACCAGCCAAGGTGCAAGAATCTAAACCTCAGAGTCCCGCTCAGGGCTGGCCAGGTGTGGACAAGTCTTTCTCTCTCCAAGCTCAGCCTTTCCTACGTGTCCTCAGGCTAACCAGGTCCTCCCACACCTGCCATTACGGGCGCCCTCGTAATGCCCTTGAGTAGCCAGTTCTACATTGGTCCTCTAGCTTCATGTTCGCCCAGGGGCCACATCTGCCTTCAGCTTCCTCCTCGATCCACCTGAAACTCAGGGTTTCAAGCCCGAGGGGTGAAGCCAGGACCTCACATCAGAGCCTCTTTTCCTTGTCTCTCCACCAAGGGCTCTCTACTTCCTCCTCCCTGCTGACGGAACCTTTATTTATATCCATAGCATGACTCCTCTCT